AAATCGACACGAAAAAAAGAAAAATGTGCTTTTGTACGTTACATGCGCATACACGACACGTATGTACGCGCGTTGATACGCATGTCGCGGACGTTCGCCCGAGAAAAGAACAACGCGACGAAACAACTCGTCATCGTCGGACGGTTCGTTCGTTACGTTTTAACGGTGAAATTATTTGCAAAAGTAAATCGTATCGGGCAACAGAGAATTATTTCGACTGTGGCACACGTGCGCGCGTGTTTTGTTCAAATATCGGTCCGGCCTCTGTGTCGTAGTCGCGGTGAAACATTAACGGACCCGAGAGAGAGAGAGAGAGAGAGAGAGAGAGAGGGGAGTTCCTCTGTTTCGTAGATCCAGATAATCCTCTCGCATCAACGTGATTAGTGTGCGCTTGATATAATTCTTACCGCACAAATGGTTTTTAGGTTTCGCGTACACCTCTCTATGCTTATGCTTGTATATACGGTGGGTGTAAAAAGTATTCGTACAGTGATTAATCATGACTAAAATGCTGAATAATAATATTTATTAAACAATATTTTTTGAACAAACGTGGTACATCCATTCTCCAAAGTCTGTTGAACAGCAATATCAAATAAACAAAAAAAAAGAAATATTCATATTGTTCATATAAATATCAAGAAAAACGGACAAAATGACAGAAATAAACGTGTAATACGTATTTGTACTTGTTCCATTATCAAGTGTACAAATAACTTAAACATTTATAACAGAAACAACAAGTAATTGTAAAATTAATATTTATAATTAGTATTTAGTAGAGTTTCCCTTTGACTTTATTGTTGCAGCTAGCCTCCTAGGTACTGAATTAACCAAATTGAATGTGATTTTATTAGCGATATCATTCCATTCGTTGATTAAAGCATTTTTTTAAGTCTGTTTTAGATGAAATTGTATGTTTCCCAATTGCTCGTACCAGACAATCATCGTGCATGTTTGTTTAAAAAATATTGGTTAATAAATATTATCATTCAGCATTTTAGTCGTAATTAATCACTGTACGAATACTTTTTACACCCACTGTACATAAACAGGGTGTTTCGTAACTTGTAGGACCCAATTCGCCTAAAAATAATGAAAAAAAGTCATATAAATATATGTCCTATCTGTCTTCGTTTATGAGATATAATGAATTTTCTGTNATTCATTATATCTCATAAACGAAGACAGATAGGACATATATTTATATGACTTTTTTTCATTATTTTTAGGCGTACAATCAGTTCTCGAATTGGGTCCCACAAGTTACGAAACACCCTGTATACACACACACACACACACACATATATATATATGTTTCTCTGTACATGTCGTTCATACGTTTAAACATACTTTGTTATCTTCCAGAGATAGATTGTTACGCGATATCGCGTTGTTAATAACAACAACCGGCTCGTTCTGATTTCGTCGCAGAAATACGGAATTAATATTCATACCCGTGCATTTCCAGCCACGGCGCGTATGTACCTATGGTAATTAATATTCAATTATAATAGGCTGGTATGTAAATGCGGGGGTGGAACGAGGCGCGCGCGCGCACGCGGGCCGCTGATTACTTTCGCGTTTTGCTAATTGTCCGCGTGATCGTCACTCGATCGCGATCGTTCGCAGCCACATATCTCATCAATTATACCTCGCGAGTTCATTTCGCAAATGGAATTTCCAAAATTTCGTGCGTTCGTTAATATTTTAAAAAATAAGATCATCAACAGCGGCTCACGTTTTCAAGATATTTGAACGTTATTGCTCGCGTCGTTTCTTTGTTTCGTCAAAATGAACGAACTGGTGAAGTGAAATTCCGCAAAACGAAATTTCACACCGCGAGATTTTAATATATCGCTGGCTCGTACACGACGAGCATCGCGCCGGAATCGAACTGAAATGAAATGAAATGAAATGAAACGAAATGAAAGAGGGTTGAGGGAGAACGTCCTTTGACTCTCCTGGAGAGAGAGATAAATAAGAGCAAAGATCGTTTTCTTCTTCTTCTTCTTCCTCTCATTTTTCTTCTTCTTCTTCTTTTTTCTTTTTTTTTTTTATGATTCTTTCAATTGGCTGGCGCGAATCAGACAGAACGAGCTTGTTGTTGTTCATCAATTGTTGATCAATTATTGAAATTAAGCTCGCAAGCCGTGGGAAACGAGCAAGCCTGTTTTCCTTCTCGCGCGGCCGATTTTTTTGGCAAGAGAAGAGAGAAACGTGGCCGATCGCGATCGACCCTTGTAACGCGATTCCATCGCCGGTGGACGCAGGTATGTGAAAGTGCAACTTTTCGGACCGGTTTTTCGTGCAGGTGAAGCGGATTGATGCGTGAACGAAAGCTACCGTTAGTTTTCAGACGCTTTTACAACAAGCATTTTCGATTGCTCTTCTCTCGATCATCTCGATACGGAGAAACATCGATGAAAGCTCGGTCGAATGCTGCAGATTTAAAAAAAAAGAAAAATTAAAAAAAAAGAACTAAAAAACAAAACAGCTT